TTCTTCGCTATGGGTTGAACAGCCATTATTACTGAGCAAAATAAGCTGTCAATATTAATCACCATTCTGAAATGAATTACTACTTACTTGCTTCAGGTACATACTGCCCTCGCATGGTGCCCATTGCAGGCCAGAATATTCCAACACATACTTCAAAAACTATAAATCCAGCAAAGATGTATTCTTTGTTCTATTGATCAGAAGTAAAGCATATTTGTTAATTAAACTGTAAATTCAGTGACTTGACTTAGTCAAATACAGTCAGCATTACCATAGTTGTGTTAAATGAGATTGAGATGTGATAAAATGATGTTGAACTCAATATTAAGACATTTCCTGCCAAGAGCCTCTCACACATAGCCAACAAATGTTGTTATGTGAATGAGAGATCAGAGAATATCACCGAGTATCTTTTTAACATTGTATAATACTTACATTAGGTAAAACAATCGGTACAACTAAGGATATAGCACCAATAAATAACACAAGCCTCATAAAGGATTCCGGTGATGAGTATTTACAAAGTATTTTAAATAATGATGATCCAATCATTATTGCAACCTATGAAAGAAAAAAAATACTTTTGTGAAAGTCACCTTCAAAAAAAAAAAATCTGTGTTGCGGTTGAAAAATTAAAGGATATTAAATAATAAAATAACCATATTAAACAAAATTCATGAATATTTTGTTGACTTTTTTATCATTTTACATCTATTACCACATCTCCATCAGCTACAGTGTGCCCTAACGTTGGAACATTTGCATCCTGCCTTATTAGGAAATGTAAATTCCAAATATGGAACATGGTATTTGCAGGATGGCGGACATGTTTGTAAATGAAGTTCATACAGTGAAATCAATAATTTTCACCAACTTTCTCAGTTCTGGGCTTCATACAATTAGCAATTGGAACGCAAAGATGTATAACACACATACAGTATGAATGTGTAAATTTTGAATGTGAATCATCAAGGCTTGTCAGAGAGCAGCCTTCTTTAAAACAGAATGCCAGTCAGCTATTTTGAATCCATTCTGGAAAAAAGTGCTGAATAAGTTCAATGTACATATGTAGTATCTTAACTAATAAGGAACTACCAAGGACATGTAAATGTATGATGTACTGACCATAAAATTTGCAAATATCCATCCATGAGGTATTGTAGAGCTGACTTCATCATCAGCTGCCACTTCTAATCCAGCAGGCACTTCAGGTGGATCTGGTGGGGTCAACGCAGGGGTCCATTCCAATACAAATGTATACATTGAACCTTCAAAGAGTGACTGGATTAAACCAAGACACAGGATTTTGCGATCTGTAAATAAAGATTAATTACGATTAATTCCCATTGACCCCAAAGGTCAAGATTTGTACTAATTCAAATGTTTTTGGTCTGGTAACCAAGGTATATATCATACTACCAGTCAGCCATTTTGGATTGCACCAAGAAACAGAAGAATTCACTTGTCATATGTTTACCAGTGAATGCATGGTAAACAAAAACATGTATCAGAATATTTAGTTACTTCTGAATTGACTTAAGCAAAATAAAAAAAAATAAAATTGAAGTGAAGCAAAAACACATTTGTCATTAGTCAAATCCATAGTACCAGGTAGTCTTTGTTTTGTGTTAACAGTGATACAAATGCGCTCAAATTGATATGCAAAAAAAGCTAATTAATATGCACAAATCTTAAGTTCAATAGAACTGAGGCAATCACGGAATGCAATATAGTGCATGAAACAGATCAATGTGGAATTTGTACATACGATAAAGACATTTTCAAGCTCAGCTGTGTAACTTAGGTATTGCAAGTAAATGTCTCATGAATTACTACTATTTAATTAAATTACAACACTATAGAGGGTTGGAATACTAGATGTAATTAAAACCCATCTCATTATAAAATGATTGTGATACAAGGAATAATGATTTGTTTCAATGTCTTCAAGTTAAAGGCAATGTATGGGTTATAACATTACATTCATAGAAGCACACAGACACATATACTGTATAAGTATAGCGAAACATGTCTAAACCAGTCCCAACAGCATTTTTTCAGTCTTTCGCTTGGAGAAAGACCTCTAAACCGAAAACCACTGTAAACCTAAACAAATTTTCAGTACATTTGGTGCTCAGTTATGACAGGTCTGTATAATATTTTAACTTACCCTGTTTAATTGAAATCAAGGCACTCTTCATAGAAGACATGACATTTCCAGTTGCGTCACCATAATTCTCAGTCCATGTAGTGACAAGAAATACACACATTATCACAAGTACAGTTAATGACAAGTCAAAAGGCGCCCTAAAAAAATGAAATCATATATTAGCATATTAGTTGTATATACCCACCCCAACCGACATAGACAACAACCACTATCCTGGCATTATGACACAGAACCTACCGAACCCCATCC